ATCAACACTGTCTCATCTGCATATCTTATGTTAAAATCGTGTCCGCCAATAGTGAATCCTTGTATGACTATTAGAATCGCTTTATTGTATCAGTTAAATAAATCCGGTGAGAAGAAACATCATCGTATTTTTTCACAACATGGCAATCTTACTGCATTGCCGTGTTGACTATTGTTATGATGTTGATTTGGGGTTAGTGGAGACAAACGCCAAATAACACGTAACAGTAAAAAGGGTTTTAATAGGTTGGTAAAAAGGTACAGAAATCGCCTGAGTTGTCAATAACTAACTCAGCTAATAACTTCTTTGTCTATCTATCTTCCCCATGTCAACTGACATGCCACTATTTAAAGTCTTTGTTCACAGACGCAGACAAGTTCATCTTCAAGAGAGGTGGTAGGTTTCCGACACAACAACTATGCATCTCTGCTTCTAAAACCATTTGCGTACAGTTCCTTCACATATCAAATCGATGAGAAAATAATAATTAATCATGCTTATTCTGAGTTTAAATAAATCAATAAATCAGTCAGTTATGTGCCATGCGTGATACGCTTAGGCGATCATGTATCTTTCGATACATGACTGACGAGGCAGCTTTTTTCTCGTAATAGGTTGTCATTTCTTTCTGTGGTAGACCAGTTGCTATCCAAGGCTATAGAACCCGGTCTGTCTTGCTATTTACCATTTTACTGCATAGTGTATTTGCTAAAAAGCTACCACCCTTGAAGGTTGGGATCAAGAATACACCGACTGCATCCACATGCAAAACTCTCTAAAAATAACCATCTGTATGTCCACCTTCTTTTACTCTGGTGCAAGCCAATCTATGTATCAGCAATATTTCTATGGATGAATGGTAAACTTTTACCATAGTTGGGGTGTGGGAGAGAAGAAAAGGATTCATACCTTTCCCAAGGGTATCAGCACGTAAATGAATGTAATGGATCTGACTGGAATTCGAACTCGGCTCTCCGATTTCTTAATCCGAGCCGCTATCTATTATTCCACCATAACTACAAAGTTAATTTGCGGATATTTAAAATCAATAATTTCATGAAGATGTATTATAATAATAGTGAAAAGATGCCTTTCCTAAGCTCATCCAAGAGACACCTCTCTGCCTTCCATCAGCATGGCTGATGCTAACCTCCAGGAAAGTGATTCGTTGCACCTTCTCAGGCTAATGTTCTCGGCTGACATAAAGTGGAAAGATTATATTGAATCAATTGCTAGGTTAGCTGCTAAGAAAGATGATTCTCTCTGTTGTGCTAGACAATATTTCACTCCTGAAACTATCTTGCATATTTATATGTCTGCCATTCGTCCATACATAGATTTGGCTTGCACGATAGTAAAAGAAGGTGGACATAAAGAAGGTTATTTTTAGAGGGTTTTGCATGTGGATGCAGTCGGTGTATTCTTGATTCCAACCGTCAGGTTTTTAACAAATACCCATTGCAGTAGCTTAACTGTCCAGACCGTAGCAACTAGAATGTGTTTTATTTCAACTGGTGCAAAGATATGCATGTAATCTTCTCTCAGAATGAAATCACTGGTACCATTCATAAGTAAATTACCATAATAAGCCATTCTAGCTTAGCTCAAGCAGTTGTATATTTACGTTGCCAGTTTATGCGAGGTGTTGTTTTAGAGAGAGACTACTAGACGTAATCGATATTTCGCTGATGCAATTAAGCAAAATTGACTAAATATTACACTTCTGTATAATACCTACCTTACATTTTGTCTTTTGATTCTGATTCAAAATTTCCTGCATTGTACGCAATTAAATACGATATCTGCTGGCTATGGACAAAACATTTCAACTCTTTGAATTCAGTTAGACTGTCAAGCCACCAATCTGCAATAATTCGGATCAATTCAGTGCCAAATACAAATGGACAGATGATGACCCACTCTTTCGCCTTGTTCTTGGCGCAGCTCCAGCTCGAACGCCTGAACGCCTTTTCTTCGACGTTGTGGCTCAATAAAATTCAAGATGTACGTCGCAAATCAGTGAGATGTAAACAGAGCGTGTCCACAAAAGGAGGACGAAACTGCAAACCCCATAATTAAGGTGGAAGTGTGCTGAATGACCGTGTGTCGGAAATGCTTAAACCAGAATAAGCGAAAACATTGATGGTCAATTTCAGGCTGATATAAACGCCTACTTTTGAGTTTTAGGCTTGAAATTTTGTCTTTTGTTTTGCATAATACTTTCCACACGTCACACCGGCACCAAAACATAAACAAAATGCAAGCATAAACGTGTGAACACATAAGTTTTCATAGCATTTATATTCCGCCATTATCTGCGAACTTTACAAACACTACAGAGATTATCTACCACAGATATAGAGGTCATGAGTTATTTTAACTAGTTACGTTTTTATCTATTTTTTCAGAAAAATGATTTGTTATTTTAAACTCATTTTACAAGTCAAAACCTTTACATCCTATTTCAATTAAAATTTAAAATTTATCACTATCTTGATTATTTTGTTTAAAAATATTGAAGTTTCAAACTAATTTTAAAGGTGAAAACGTTTTTATTGTATTTTTATTAAAGTTTAAAATCTCCGATATCGCCCTAAATTTTAAAATCTATCATTATCTTAATTATATTGTTTAATAATGTTGATTTAAACTAATTCTAAAGGTGAAAACGTTTTTATTGTATTTTTATTAAAGTTTAATAAGTCCGCTGTCGTATTAAATTTTAAAATCTATCATTACCTTAATTGTTTTGTTTAATAATATTGATGTTTTAAACTTATTTTTAAAGTAAAAACGTTTCCATTGTACTTTGATGGAAGTTTAATAGGAAAACCATCAATTTAAATTTTAAATGCTATCACTACCATGGTTATTTGTTTAAATATTGACATTTTAAACTCATTTTAAAAGTGAAAATGTTTTTATTATATTTTGATTAAAGTTTAATGGGAAAGCCATCGTTTTAATTTTGAAAATCCATCATTAACTTCATTATTAATTTACATAAAAATTCAGGATGTGAAATTTGTAAATATTAAACACCTCGGTGTATGGATCAGCTATAACAAATTTAGTATCAGAGAAAAGGGAATTGAATATAGGCTGCACTACGAATGTTTTTTTCAAACACCACTAAATGTTACAAAACCAAAATATTAAGCTAAGATTTTGAGTTATTTTCTTAAATATCTTCGTCAAATACAAAATTTCACACGGATGCCATGCATGGACTCCAACTAGTTTAGAAATATCTATGTCATCTATATACAACCATTTCCCCAGAAGTATACAAACCGAACTGAAGAATATAAAAGCAAATTTAATGTTTGTAAGGTGAGGCGGGGGGTGGGGTGGAGAGAATGTAGAATCTATTTCTTGAGTGTGCGGGCATAGGAATCATTTGCGCCTCAATGACTTGGCCTGAAAATTGAATTAAGGCATGAAACTGACTGTAACCATGTAGTGTTGATTCCTATGTTCACACACTCTCTATCCACCTCAGTCTGCTCATTATCTATCTATCTATCTATCTATCTATCTATCTATCTATCTATCTATCTATTTCCATCGATTTTTTATAATAAGAATCTTAAACAATCAGTCTTGTCAACTAGAAGATAAATTTAAAATTATTGAAGGCAGAAAGAAAGATAAGAAATAAAAACAATAAACAGAGAGAAATGTCGACAGATTGAAGATAATCGAAAGCAAACAAACTATAATAGAAGGAAACACCGAAGTAATTCGAAAGGAAATGAGGCTGCGTTGGGCTCTTTGGTAAAGAGCAACTCAGGCAAAAGAGGGAAATTGGTGTTAATCTTAATTTACAACCTGATGCAGTCTTGAAGATATGGACTGGGAAATGTAATAAAGTAAGGAACACATAGCAATGTACTCTATGGGGCGAAACCAGGGACTCCCGAAAGAATCTAACTTGATTTGAACACACAGACCTGAAAAGGGCAAAGGAGATAAATTCAGACATTTCTAAGGAAATACGATTTTTACAGCTAAGAATGAAAAAGAAAAAAGAAAGAAAGAAAAAAAAAACAACAAAAAAAGAAGAATTTAGCAAATAAAAATTGTAGTGTTTAACTTGTAAGACCGGATATAAAATGAAATAAAAAGTATTTTTTTTTTAAATTTCCGATAAGAAAAAAAAAAAAAAAAAGCGATGATGAGAGGAAGGGTAATCAGAAGAACTCTAAAGAAAAAAATATCAGAAGAAGAATGAAATCGGATTATAAGAGGATAAAAAAAAAAAGAATGAAAGAAAACATTAGAATAAAGGAAGGAAAGCAACGAAGAAATTTAGGAAAAAGAAAATAAATATAAAAAGAAAAGCTATAAAGTTAGGAGAGAATAGAGAAAAACCAAGCAAAACAACAAAAAAAAAAAGTACAACAAAAACAGAGTTTTAAGAAGAGATGAGTGAAATCAATTATCTGAAAACTACAAATAAAAGACAAGTAGTAAATTAAATTAAAGTGTAAAAATAATTTCAGAAGGAAAGAAGCATGCAAAGAATGAAACATCAGAAAAGGAAAGAAGATTAAAAATATAACATAGAAATAAATCCTACAGAAATATTAAATATCAAGTGAAAGAAAAGCAAATAGAAAATGAAAAAAAATGTAGAACGAACTTAAAAGGAATATCTTAAAGGATGAATGAAAAAAAAAGAAGAAATGTCTGCTGTGAAGGAATAAAGACAACCATTAAAACTAAAGAAAGAATTTATAATGAAGAAGAAAAATAGATGAAAAATAACCTGATATCGCCATATAAAGAAATACATATTGTGAAAACGATTCGCAAATGAAAAAAAAATCTAAAAAAAAAATCACCTTCTACTTGGAAACATAGTGATGGGGGAATTTTGCATATCTTTAAAGAAGGGAGAGAAGTAAATAGAGAAGAAATAATGAAATTAAGAAATTGTTTGTATTAAAACATTTCAACTGAAATGTAAGATTCAAGAAAGAAAGTATCAGGGAAACCTATGGAAAATAGACATAAAAAGGGGAGACATTTGCACCAAAAATTAGTCTGTTCCTTAGAAAGAAAATAAGAAAAAGAAAAGACAAAGATGAAGTACAGCAGACGTGGAAAAGAAGGGAATATAAGATCAAGTGGAGGGACAGATCGAGATTGATAGACAGACAGATAGATAGATAGATAGATAGATAGATAGATAGATAGATGAATAGATACCAATAGACTGGGATAGATAGATAGATAGATAGATAGATAGATAGATAGATACCAATAGACTGGGATAGATAGATAGATACCAATAGACTGGGATAGATAGATAGATAGATGATAGAATAGATAGATAGATAGAATAGACTGATGAATAGATAGATGAATACCAATAGACTGGGATAGATAGATAGATAGATAGATAGATAGATAATAGATAGATAGATAGATGAATACCAGTAGACTAGGATAGATAGATAGATAGATAGATAGATAGATAGATAGATAGATAGATAGATAGATACCAGTAGACTGGGATAGATAGATAGATAGATAGATAGATAGATAGATAGATAGATAGATAGATACCAATAGACTGGGATAGATAGAAAGAAAGAAAGAAAGAAAGAAAGAAAGAAAGAAAGAAAGAAAGAAAAAAAGAAAATAAAATGAGTAAAAAAAAGCAACAAACCACGAAGCTTAGAAATGAAAGTCACAAAAAACATGATGAATTCGAATCAAGGAGAAAAGAGAAAAATAAATCGAATTCAAAATAAAGAAACGCGTAAAGCAGAAAAAGAAGAAATGTAGTGGGAGAAGGGAAGAGCGGGAAAATCAGACTCGGAATTTATGGAAAAGAAAATAATAGTTAAAAAACTGAGGATAGGAAACAGTTGATCACGAGAAAGAAAAAAAATTGAAATCGAAATGAACAAGAGATAAGTTTGTGTATGTGTATGTTTGTGTGTGTGTGTATAAGATATCGAGAGAGAGAGAGAGAGAGAGAGAGAGACAGAGATCAATAGACTGGGTTAGATAGATAAATAAAAAGATAGATATCAATAGACTGGGTTAGATAGATTACAAGAAAAATAAAAAGTGAATAAAAACGATCTAGAAATAGGCGAAGATAATGTCATAGGAAATGAAAAAGAAAATGTGAAAGTTTAAAACAGGTTTAAAAAAATCCACCTAAAATGTATATGTAGAAAGAAAAGAACACGTTTTCTTGAAAGGAAAGTAGAAAATAATAAATGGATGAACGAACGATTGAAAAAACGTGAATAAAAGGAAAGACGTGAATAAAAGTAATACAAATGAGTAAAAAGGAGAAAAAAATACGAAAATAAAGATTCAAATATTGCGAGAAATAAGGAAAAATAATAAGAAAGATGGAAATACAACTCAAAAAATAAAGGAGAGTTTTCTTTTATAATAAGAAAAATAACAAAAGTGCTGATAAAAAAAACAACTTAGAAAATATAGGAGAGTAAAAAGAAAACAAAGAAAATAAGAAAAAAAATGAATGAAACAGCGGGAATGAAAAATAAGCCACAAAACAAATATGAATATAAAGACAGGATAGTGTAAAAGAAAGATGGTGAAAACACGTAATTAAGGAACAAGAAGAAATAAAACAAGGTGCATAAAGTTACTTTTCAACACCGCGTGAATTAGGAGAAAAGGAATGAAAAAACAAAACAGGTAAACAAAAATATAACAAGAAATGAAAAATATCAGAGGTGAAGCAAAAGAAACAGTGAAAGAAAAATAATAAAAGAAATTAGAAAAAAAATATAAAGATAAAAAAAGATTAAAAAAAAAGGCAAAGAACTAGAAAAAAAATAAGGAAAAAAACAAAACAAAATGTCTATGAGATGAGAAAGATAATTAGATTTCAATAATGAGATCCTCATCGACAGTTTCGATGCTTCAACCGACGTGCATTTTTCGCGAGTGTTCAGGCAAGGCAGCTAAGATTCATTCATTAGGAAAAGAGGGGGGTCCATTCAGAAACGAGTGAGCCCAAAATGAAGGCAGTGGTCGTTCTTATCCAATAAAACTCATTTCAGCAGATGGATCGGGAGCTGTGAAACAAGGGTGAAGGTGGAGGATTTGGACTCGGGCTGGATGATGTCGGAAATGAATATTCTCTCACTCGTATCCCAAAAGTACACGACACAGGAGAATAAGATCAAATAAACTCAGTACATGAACTTTCTGTATAGAAACAGCAGTAATAAAACGAAGCAAAGATCCGGAGGTAATCTTCACCTCCACCCTCAACCAAAAAAATCCCAAACAATTGAAACTGTTATAAGATTTATCATGTACACTTAACGTAATAATACAAGAAAGCAAATAATACTATTTTTACTGTTACTACTACTACTACTACTACTAATACTAAGAAGAAAATAGACACCTTTTGGAAATCTTTATGAAATATCTAAAATCTAATATGCATTTGTCCTGGGTATGACGATAAACTACATCCGGCAGCAAGGTCTATGATCGGGAGGTTTTGAGGAGCTAGGAACCGCCTCATAATTGTTTTTGTCCACAAGTTCACCCTGACCTGGGGTGGTAGCACCTCTTAGGGTTCCTGCTATGGGTAAACAGTTAACGCCAAACTTAGGTTAAAACACTATGAAAGTAAAAAAAAAAATATAGTAAAAATACTAGGAATACATTTTTAAAAATATCAATTACCAGCAATACATTTTTAAAATATATATTACCAGCAATACATCCATTTAAAAAAAATATTACCAGCAATAAACTTGTCTTTCGACAAAACCCTACTTTACAAAAAACGTCAATGAGTCCAAATCTACAGACTCATTTCTGACAAAGAATACATATTCTATTCAGACGAAGCTATCATAAAAATCTTGTCGGCATTAAATTACTCATTGAGGTTGATATGTCGTAAAACAAAATAAACCAATAAACTAATACGCGTTTCTTTGATGACCAAATAAAATCATAGTTGAATCGCTTCGATCAACAAAATGTTCGATTAATACAAATGAATAAATCAATAATGCTCACATGTGAAAGGCATTAATTATGAAATGTACTTATGCGTATTTGAAATGATGTCGTAATTGTTGTGACTATAACAACCAAGACAAGCATACTAAAAAGATATACAAAGATATTTATAATTATAACTTCGTCGGGATTGGGATTCAAAAATTTCCCTGTAAAGGATCCGACTCTGCCTAACATGCTACATCTTTACGCAAGACAGATCAGACCCAAAATGGAGCACTGGTGCCACATCTGGGCTTGAGCAGTTTAATCCTCCCTTCCCACCCTCGGCAGAGTTCAAAAGCTTTTGCGCGACTTTGTGGATGATGGATTGTTTTCCACTCTAAAGCCCATTTTCCACAGATGAAACCTTGCTAACTTCTCGCTATTCCTTCGCAATTTTCCTGGCAAATGTTCGGGCAAACTACATTCCTCGGCTCCACCAGTTCAGACCTTCACAGCGAGGACCTGCCAGGCCACGTTCACTGACTTGACTCATCGTCATTCCCTTAGTATTGCATCGATGAGTGGGGTGTGAAGATCCATTCAGATAACTTCTTCCCTGTCACCACAATCTTAACCTCTTCAATTCAAGGATTAACTGATATCTATTCTACTAATTCTCATAATATGCACAAGTTTCTTTCTCCTTGTACGCCCTTGGATCTTGAGTTTATAATAATAAAAAAGAGGCAGTTAGTGAACTGAAAGCAAACTCCGGTTGAAACTATACCACATTATCACTTGAAAAGGATATGAATTTAACTTTCTTTACACTATGTCCTATTGCCAGTCAGATTCGATTATTGGTACGTTATTATAGCAGGCATGAGCAATCCGATTTTCTAGACAGAGGCAGCAAAACATCGGCTGTTGACAAATAGCAAAGAGTGAATAAGTTGCGAAAAAATGATTACCCCCTTCACTCATTTAAAAAAAATAATAAAGAAATAAAGAAAGAAAATAGACTGTCATAATTTTCAGAATTAATCTAAAATTTTTAACTCTTATCTTCTCGGCTTTGATGAACTCAATAAAACATAATTTTACCAACTAAGATTGTATCACTAAAAAGAATGAAATAAAAATAGCATTATTTGTTGCAATATTTTTAAGAGTAATTTGTCGAGTTCTTTGAAGCCTTGTCATAAATTCTTTTTTTTTTGTTTTTAAAATATTATTCCGTAAAATGGGCATCAGCTTTAGATAAGGACATTATATTTCCTTCAGGAATACAAAGAAATCTACAATCCAATCACAAACGAAAGCAAAAAAAAACAAAAAAAAATAAGAAAAAAAGCTCTGTGAAGTTATCGGAAATAAATCTAAACAAACTTTGGATTATGTGCACAAACCAATGGCGTATTGGATGCAGTAATAAAAACAAAATCTATTGACAAGAGAAATAATAAGGTGCACTTTGTGTTTTGTAAAGTATGGTCCCTCCAGTTGTGGAACAGAGAGCTTTGGATAGAAGCATTTTGGAATTATTAACAATGCATAAAGCATCACACCTGAAAGGTAACGTTCATTATGTGTATCTCGAATTGCTTGGACAAAAATGATTGTATTTTGCAGTCATGAATTGTATATATATATATTTATATATATATATATATATATATATATATATATATATATATATATATATATATATATAAAATAAATTAATTGATTTAAAAATATTTTTTGCTACACAGTTCTAACCATGTTTCAAAAATGGAAGCTAAAAGCCCCCAATTTAATTTTGCAATTAAATTAAAATATTAGTTCCATTTCATCCTCAAGCGAATTTTGGAGTAACTTTTAAAATTATTGGGTTTTAAAGACACAGCTAAAATCATAATTCACGTTTCCAAGGTTACAGATAATATATAATATAAGATTATATATCTTACTGTTCTTTTTTTTTTTTTTATATATACATATGTATATATATATATATAATGTATATATATATATATATATATATATATATATATATATATATATATATATATATATATATATATATGCAATTTTATATATATTATTTAAATATTATGTATGCTCAGTACTTATTGGAAAGCGCTCAATAGCAGCGATAGAGCTAACATATTTAGTTGATTTGAGTTCGTAATCCTGGGTTTCAGGCCCTTTGCCATCGTCAGAAAAACTGATTAATTTTGAAATTTTGTTCTTATTCATGGCTGCATAAACAGGTGTTTTATGGTAGTGGTAGTCTGCGTACGTATGAGTAGTGTACTGACGACAATTTTTCTCGCATTACCTTAAAACACCGATATACACAACCATAAATAAATCTAAAATTTCAAAATTATTCCGTTTGTCTGACGATCGGAAAAGGCGTGAAACCCAGCGTCACAAACTCACATCAACGCAACTATATATATATATATATATATATATATATATATATATATATATATATATATATATATATATATATATAAGAGGTTGTTGAAAAGTTCGACCACCTCTAAATTATTTGACAACTTAGATTTGTAGAATGCTGGTTTTTTTGTGGTGGAGAACTTTACAATGTCCTTTCACACACACACACACACACACACACACACACACACACACACACACACACACACGCACGCACACACAAAAAGCGGAAACGTTTCTCAATCTAACATGTTTTCCTTTTATTGAAACTTCATCAGATATTCATGATATATGG